GTGAGGCAGTAAAGATGGGATAGCTGTGAAGGAAGGAATGAGGGAATATCTAGACATTAGAGAGTGACTTGGTTTTTATTTCCAAAAAAGATCTGAGGATGTTTATAGCCTCTGAAGAATCATTCCCTAAAGGATGAGAGGTTGAAGATACAGGGGAAATAGTCTAAATGGTTTTCAAGATGACTCTAAAATGGGAAGGTATCAGATTCCCAGCATGGATTGAGAAATTAGACTTAGGAAGAAAGGGATCTATTCCACTGAAGGAGGGAATAATCAGGGTTGCTTCAGATAAATTGGGGCACTCATCTTCAAGGAGAGATAAGGTATTTTTTTGAGCTTGATGGCAGAGATATTTGGCTCAAGCATGGGAAGAGCCATACTGGGAAATGAAGTAGGCAGGAGACTTAGGAGCAAATAAAAGGATTATCAGACAGCAGGGAAATTCTTGTTGAGATTGAAGTTCGTGAATGTTATGAAACAGGTATCTGAGCTGGACAGGACAAGATATAAAGGGTTAGGGAGAGGACTGCTAATAGAAAATGAAAGGCACAAAGGACTTAAAGTCTAAGAGTAGGAGATGGGGGAATGAGGTGTGGTGGTTCAGAATTAGAATCCTATATAATAAAAGCCTAATATGCTAAGGGTCCGGTCATCTGGTTGGCCCTTCAACCAATCAAAGTATAACATGCTAATGATATGCTAAGGTTGCTTAACCACTCACTATGACATGTACTGACCACCAGGTGGGCAGACACTCAACGTAGGAGCTGCCCCCTGGTGATTAGTGTGCTCCTTCAGGGGGAGCACTAAGCTAGAAGCCCAGCTCACGGCTGGCAAGAGCATTGGTGGCAGCACTAAGGATGTCCGACTGCCGGCTTAGGCCCATTAGTTGGACGTCCTCTGAGGGATCCCAGACTGCGAGAAGGCGCAGGCCAGGCCCCCTGAGTGCACAAATTTTGTGCACCGGGCCTCTAGTAGTCTCTAGATAAACTTCTCAATAAACTAGACCTAGGTGTTGATAAGAAGGAAGTAGTCTTAAGGCATAGCTATTCTGTTGGTCATTGCTTCTTTTAGTTTCTTGAGGAACATAATGAAGTATTTAAGATGATGTCTGTCTTTTAAGCCATTAAATAATTAAAATAGTTAATTGTGTTTGAACTAAGTGAAATATCTCAGCTTCAGAATGTTGAAGTTTGCAGAGCTTTGGCTATAATGTCGAGCAAGTGTAGCCATAGATAAGCTCTTGACAGAAAATTCAGCCCTAGCTAATTTGGCTCAGTGGATAGAGCATTGGCCTGTGGACCAAAGGGTCTCTGGTTCGATTCCAGTCAAAGGCATATACCTCAGTTGTAGGCTCCTCCCTGGCCCGGGCCCTGGACTGGGTGTGTGCAGGGGGCAAATCATCGATGTGTTTCTCTCTCATTGATATTTCTCTCTTCTCCCACTCTCTCTAAAAATCAATAGAAAAATGTCCTTGGGTGAGGATTAACAAAATAGATAAATGTATAAATAAAACATATTTTTAGAAAAGAAAGAAAATTCTAACATTTTTTAAATTTAATTCAGTTAATTAAGCAATACTTTTTATTTACTATAGCAAAACATTCTTAAGCATTAGGTTAGAAAAGTTTAGTGTATTTAACAGTGTTTTGAAAATGAAAGAAATGAATCATATAAACATGGAAGGTTTGACTTTTCCCTCAGATTGAAAAAAGAACAATATTAGAAAACAGTGCCTTGGATTTCTGGAATCTAGGAATCCAATAGAGGCCTCAATAAATTAATTGTACATAAACAATATAAGGGCTTTAGTTTTATTTTCCATAGAAAAACAGAAAATGCCCTGATTCATTCCTTCAGTATTAAATTATGCATTTAATCTTAGAGAACTCTTGAGTGATGCCATAAAAAAATGCTGATGTGACCTGCTTAAGTAAAGTGCATGGGAAAGTGGCCATTTGGAACACATTTGTTAAGAAAAGTTTGGAATTCCTGGACTTGCACTGATTTGTTTTCCCTGGATCCCATGGGGATACTTGCAGAATCAGATGATAGGATACAGTTGGATCCTGTGAAGGGCACTCGTTTACAGTTATGTTTTCTGGATTTCTTCCATATGTTGCTGTCGTCTCTGTATTTGACCATGTATGGATACACAGAATTTCATAGGCCAGATGAGAAAAGAAGCTATATAAACACTCTTTAAAGTATGTAAAATACAGATCTTTATTTTTCTTAAATCAATAAACAAGTTGTTCTGCTGATTTTTTAAAATAAAGACAAGGAGACAAAGACCTTAAAATTTATTCTATTAGGATGTGTGATTAATGTACAATTTATTACTGAAGATTTAGTAATAAGGCAATCAAATAGTTTGAAGTAAAATTGTTCATATAGAACAATTGTATTTTTGCATTAGTTTCTAATACATAGTACTATGGATATTTCTGCTTCAATTAACAGTTTCCATTAACGAATGGCCTATTTTTATGAAGGAGATGGAGGTGAATTCAAGATATATGGAGATCTAAGATTTGACCAGATTGTCCTTAAAAAAAAAAAAAAGATAATTGACATATAAACAAATTGTTCTTTGATTAGAGGATATATGAAATGTGAACTTGCTAAGCCACTTATTTTTTATTTTTTTTTTTTTTTTTAGTTTTGTTAATCTGACACTGATGATGATATCTGATTATTTTCTTAGTTATTTTGTCTCCCTCATATTATTAGAGTAACCTGGTATAAGACAGGCTGTGTTATCTTGGCTATGTGACCTGAAACAGTGTTCTTCCAAGTTGATATTGAAGATAATAAAAAAAAAAAAAAAAAGAGGGGAGAGAGAGAAATATCAACAACAAGAGAGATTCATTGATCGATTGCCTCCTGCACACACCGTACTGGGGATCGAGCCCACAACATGGCATATGTCCTGATCAGGAATCTTAACTGTGACCTTCTGGTTCCTAGGTCAGTGCTTAACCATTGAGCTACACTGGCTGGGCTAGGACCCTTATATTTTGATGTTTATTTTTTTAATCTATAGGAAAAATTAATACTTATTAATATTTAATGTTCATGTTGCCAATTATGTATAATTGAATTGATAAATAAATATGCTTATATTTGGGATGCGAGAGTTTACATCAGGATCAGAGCTGTCTGAAGACCATTGGTCTAAAGATAAGACCTTTACCTCTTGTCTAAAAGAGTAGAAACTCCTCCATGGACTTGCATGTCCAAATTTAGGAACTGTTTTCAGTTTTTAAAAAATTCTTTTTTAATAATACTCTTTTTAACACAATAACTTTTGATTTCTATAGAACTGCATTGTCCAATTCCATAGTCACTAAGCCACATATAGCTATTTAAAATAATTCAAATTGAATGAAATTAAATATTCTGTTACTCGGTAACTTTCTTGCTCAGCAATCTGTTTCATCTCCTCAGTCCCTTCATGCATAGGCTAGCATCTATAAGAAATGCCAAAGGAAAATGGAAAGACAACATCGGTTCTGTAAAGGAGCATCAAACTTCTTTTACCCAGAAATCAGTCAGTTTTCCTTTCCAAACTCTGTTAATCATATAAATAGTTGCAGTTGCTTTTCACCTGTTCGAGATTACATTTTTTCCTAAGTTTGGTGGCACTTAATCTGGACTGTACAATGGCACTTACCACTCAAAGTTTTAATACAATTCTTGCCTCTTACTTTAGCCTTTAGGCATACCTGGAGTCTCTTGTTTTAATAAGCAGTAGATGTAAATATACAATGAATGGGAGAATTGGTATTCTTTTCTTCACTTTATTTAGCAGCAGCATATGCCCAGGGTGAATGATTTATATGTTCTGATTGTTTAAGTCCAATACTCTCTCACATAGGTTTTAATAAATTCTACAGAGAATAGAAGATTTTAATCAGAGTTAGTAGGGTTTTACTCTACCAGAATATATATTTTTTTAATTGCTGGGACTTTTGTTGATTGCTTTGGCCTAAATATGCAATACCACTTTAGAAAAGAAAACTGGATCTTAGCCATAACATAAACACGAGTGTAAATAATTACATACATGCTGGGAAAGATTTGAGAATGGTAATAAGTTTACTTAAGTAATTGGTTTAGACCAATGTAGATGGAGAACATTTATTGTGTTAGATTAAATGTACTTGTCTGCCTAATCACAGGTGATCTCTTAATTACTGAATCATTCTAACACAGTCCTTATTGGTATTAATGGATGTGCATTGAGGCCATAAAAATATTATATGGCTTTAGTGATTATTACCATTTACCGTGTTTCCCCGAAAATAAGACATCCTCCAAAAATAAGCTTACAGGTTTCCTACTTACAGGTTTCCTTCTGAGTGAAATATAAGGCATACCCCGAAAATAAGCCCCCCCCCCCCCCCAGGCTAAACATGAGAGATTTGGTCCACTAATTCTGAAAGAAATGGAGTCACAAGAAATTCACCAGGAAATTCAGGAGTTGGATTGTTATGATGATGTTCCAGATGATGATGACATGATTGTCATTGAATAAATGAGTAAATTCTTGATTCAGTAGGATTCACAGTTTCTTTGGTTTGTGTACCATACTACCGTACAGTATATAGGTAATAAATTTCCTTTATTTTCATTTAACAATAAATGTGTACCGTATTCTTCTTCATGGAAAAATAAGACATCCCCTGAAAATAAGACCTAGCGCATCTTTGGGAGCAAAAATTAATATAAGACACTGTCTTATTTTCAGGGAAACAGGGTATCAGTTCCTTCTTTATACCAACTATGAGTCATAAATTCAGTATTTACATCGTACTTTTCTTTCAAGTAACCAGGACTTTTTGTCCACAATAATGAAAATGTGGGGGTGGGTAGATTTAGTTAGCAAAAAGCTTCTTGATTAGTTTTGATTAATGTTAATCTTCCTACAGCTTACCTTGTAGGAAACCATAGGTGTAATGTTGTGGTATTAATTTCTGCACCAATTACTCTTACAGGTGGAACAATCTAAAGTTTTAATCAAAGAAGGTGGGGTTCAGTTGCTGCTCACAATAGTTGACACCCCAGGATTTGGAGATGCAGTGGATAATAGTAATTGGTAAGAAGCATTTGATATCACTGCTTTTCGTTATATTTAAGGTTCAGGGTGTTTTTAGACTCTTTCTCCTTAACATTTTAAATTTTTCATCTTAGCAAAGGCCACTACACTGTTCATACCCAACTTTGCCACTTACTTTATGTTGCTTAATTTCTTTGAACAGACTTTCTTTTCTATAAAATGGAGATAATATTTATCCTTGATTTTTTAAGACAAATTTAAAACATATATACAATAATTCTTATAAGAAATTTAAAACTTCATTTTTTACTATAATATTATATATTTGTATATGTTATTTTCTATCACATTCTAATTTATGTTTTGTTTTTGGGTTTTTTTTTTATTGATTTTTGTGTACAGAGAGGAAGGGAGAGAGATAGAAACATCTATGAGAGAGAGTCATCGATCAGCTGCCACCTGCACACCCTTACTGGGGATATGCCCGCAACCAAGGTACATGCCCTTGACTGGAATCGAACCCAGGACCCTTCAGTCCCCAAGCCGATGCTCTATCCATTGAGCCAAACCGGTTTCAGCTATCACATTCTAATTTAAATCTGACTTTAGATCTTCAGTTTTCCATATATCATAAATGAAGAAAATATCCATGACACTTTAATTGGCAGTTTTAATTTTTTTTAGTTCCATCTTTTGTTTTGTTTTTTGAAGTAAATTTCTCTCAACTTTAAAAATATGCAAATAAATTCATCATGAGATTTCTGTATTGTATATAAATATAAACATTTCTTTGGATATAATTTTTCATATTATAAATTGCCTTAGCCTTGATATATTTATCGGTACAAAGATGATTATAATTTAGTTATGTTTTGACTTAAATATTCTTTTATTTAGAAAATTTAAAAATAATCAAGATTTAGTCAACATAATTTATACACTTTTTATTTAAATCAGTATATGTAGAATAATTTGAGACATACTGGTTAGATTGATTTTGCCTATTTAAAAATATAGATAATTGCCCTTTAATAGTCATCATTTGTACATTTAAATGTAGAATTGCCACTTAATTATTTTGTTCATCTTTATTCTATAGTTGGCAGCCTGTTATCGACTACATTGATAGTAAATTTGAGGACTACCTAAATGCAGAATCTCGAGTGAACAGACGTCAGATGCCTGATAGCAGGGTGCAGTGTTGTTTATACTTCATTGCTCCTTCAGGACATGGGTCAGTACCTTGATGCTTCTGATAACCTTTTGTTGTTTATTACTCAATTTTCGGTTCACATTTTAGTATTCCTTATATGTGTACACTTCACTATACTAATTGAAAAGTCCCAAATTCCATGTAAAAATGGCTTATAAAAATTTTTTTTCAGTCCTAGATAAACTAGCAGTGATTTGACTGTAATTTCTCATGTATACTTTTTTTTACTTGCTTTCATAGAGAGGAATAGCTAATTTGACTTTCTTTTGGACTACTGTGCCACCAATTGAACCACCCAATAAGGAGAAACAGCCATAGTAATTAGCTTAGATTATATTCTAAGAAACTCCAAAGATGTTTTTTTAAAATAGATCTGAGAGAGAAGGTTACAGAAAGACAAAAATACCAGAAGTCCTCACATACCATTTCTTTGGTCACATCACTTAAGGATCATGGCATCAGTACTAACCTTCTACTTATACGGAGTTAGTAACTAAGTATCTAAACATTCATCTGGTGTGATTGTTTTTTTTGTGTGTTTTTTTGTTGTTGTTTTGTTAATCCTCACCCGAAGATATATATTTTCTATTGATTTTTAGGGTGAGTGGAAGAGAGAGGGAAAAACAGAAACATCGATGTAGTTGCCTCCTGCATGAGCCCTGACCAGGGCCTGGGCCAGGGTGGAGCATGCAACCAAGGTACATGCCCTTGACTGCAATTGAACCCAGGACCCTCTGTTTGGCCCATAGTTCGATGCTCTATCCACTGAGCCAAACTGGCTAGGGCCGGTGTGATTTTTCTGTTTTCCAGCCTGCACTCTTTTTTGTTGTTTTTATTTCCTCTGCCATTTTGAGTAGATATATGTATCATTGGTAACTGCAGATGTTTATAATTACCCTCTAATCTTTTTCTGGTTAATAGATTCAGTGGTAGGGCCCTTACCTGTTCGGCTCAGTGGATAGAGTGTCAGCCTGCTGACTGAAGGGTCCTGGCTTCGATTCCTGTCAATGGCATGTGCCTTGGTTGCAAGCACATCCCCAGTAAGAGGGTGTGCAGGGGGCAGCTGATCAATGTTTTTCGTTGATGTTTCTGGCTCTCTATCCCTCTCCCTTCCTCTCTGAAAAAAATCAGTAAAATATATTAAAAATAAAAAGATTCAGTGGTAGGCAATTGCTTTTAATCTGGGTAAATGATTCAGAATAATTCAGTGTCTTGATGATAGGAAACCCACCATCTTTCCACCAAAAGGAACTAGATTATTATATTCTATCAGACTAGATAGTAATCCAATACCCACGTTACAGTAGTGTATACCAGTTCCTTCATAAGAATACTTACCTATTTCCTGCTTCTTTCTCTACCTTTGCCCTTATCATTGTCTTGGTTTCGCATTATCACTATATAAAGCCTTAATAATGTAGCTTACCATTTTTTTTGCAGTCAGATTGTAGTGGTGCAAATATTTCATTTCAAATATTTATCTACTAAGAAGAAAGCACAAAAATTATCTCAAAGGCTTAAAAAAGTAATATTGCCTAGTCAGTGTGGTTCAGTGGTTGAGCATCAACCTTATGAACCAGGTCACAGTTCATTTCCTTGTCAGGGCCCATGCCTGGGTTATGGGCTGGATCCCCAGGGTGGGGTGTGCAGGAGCCAGCCAATAAGTGACTCTCATCATATATGTTTCCGTCTCTCCTTCTTTCCCCCTCCTAAAAGCAATTTTTAAAAAAAGTCATCTCAGAAATACAACACAAACTCTAAGGCCTTTTATGAGTTCTTGTTAGCTTCTCCCTGAATTTATACATTTTTAATCATTCTAGTTTAACTTGTAAGCGTTTTTGTGGAGTTTTTTTCCTGGAAATGGACAGAGTAAAATCTTAATCTGAGGTTGAATCACTAGAAATTGGTCAGTTTATATTCAGTTTTATTATTTTAGGTCTTTTGGGCTCTCTCCAAGATTTTGTAATTCTCATGAAATCACATTTCTTCTATTTCCCAGGGGGGAAAATACTTCTTAAAATTGCATGGGAAATAAAATTTTTTTAAGCAAAAATTTTTTGATATAATTCAAATGATGTTTAGTGGCTTTGGGCCATTCATTGTCACAGGAATGGGAGTTCAAAATGTTTATTTCTGATGTACAAAAATGTATCTTTGAATAGTTTCTCAGCTTAACTATTTTTGGAAATGGAACAAAGTTTTGTCCATTCATATGTACTGTTTAGTATGCATTAAGTGAAAGAATATGACACCAATTTTTATGTAGTGAGTTGTAAATCCCCTGCTCACTGCAGACTAAAATTCTAGGCAGTCTGATACATGAATAAGGGCCTATCCATCTTATATGGCTAGTCCCTGGATTTCCTTTTTAGAGGGAACCTGTTGTGGGAGTAATTATGGAATGTATTTTCAGTGCCCTCCCCGCTCCCCTACCTCACCCTACCAGTGTCATCACTGAACACACACAGTTAATTTTTTATTTCAGCTATTGATGCTTCATTTTCTTTGTTCAGTGGTAGATAATTTCTATTATAACCACTGCTATCCCAGCACATTTTTATTTTATTTTTTTTTTTTAATATATTTTATTGATTTTGTACAGAGAGGGAGAGAGATAGAGTTAGAAACATCGATGAGAGAGAATCATCGATCAGCTGCCTCTTGCACACCCCCTACTGGGGATGTGCCCACAACCAAGGTACATGCCCTTGACTGTAATCGAACCCGGGATCCTTCAGTCCCCAAGCCGATGCTCTATCCATTGGGCCAAGCCGGTTTCGGCTCCCAGCACATTTTTAGAGAGTGTCTGGCAATTAAGTAAAGTAGTTCCAACGTATTTAATCTAGCACTTGGGGGTGTGACAAATCTGCTTTTCCAAACCTAAAATTCAGTAATATTAAATATTGTGTATTTCAGACTTAAACCATTGGATATTGAGTTTATGAAGCGTTTGCATGAAAAAGTGAACATCATCCCACTTATTGCCAAAGCAGACACACTCACACCAGAGGAGTGCCAACAGTTTAAAAAACAGGTAGGCTGAATGCGCTTGAACTCCTGGGTTTCTCATACCATTCGCGTAATTTGTAGTTTTTCACATTTTCAGGATAATGTGTTACAGTGTATTTCTCTTGCTACTTTCCATATGATTATTTATGCTGTATTACAAATAACTCTTGAAAATAATTCTCTGCCTCAGTTTTCTCCTCAAAGCTCTTCTCTATTATGGTGGTGCCTCCTTTTTCCTTGGTCCCTTAAGTCTATTTTAGATATTTCTGTATCGCTTTCACCAGCATCCCTCCCCACACACCTTAGAATCATTTTCATGAATTTCCAAAAATATTACTTTCTGAAAGGCCACGATTACATTTCCCCCCTCATTTTGTCATAGTGCTTTTCCAATAAAACAGTCAAATTTCTTCAGTAAGGGGTGTATTTATTTCAATGCCTTGATAGCACTGTTTGTCATTTTATTTAGAAAAAAATTTTGGAATAAAGTGGTACCTAATTTCTTTAATTTTCTATAAAAGCTGAACACTTTTTAAATTGGGTTTGTTGTTTTTTTTTTTTTCTTAGTTGTATTTGGTTTGTACATATATTTTATGAAATGTAGGGTCAATTTCTGGTTTGTACATATATTTTATGAAATGTAGAGTTAATTTCTGGAATTACTCTTCTATTTCAACAGCTATTTTTTAATTTTAAGCCAGTGGTCTAATAAATTGCAGCTGTTTTGTATAATATTTTAAAATAGATCTTAGAGTTAATTATACATTATTTTTCTTGTAGTTCTTTTTAAAACAAGAAACTTTATTTTTTTTCACCTTTTTCGTTATAAATTTGAGGCTATCTTAAACCTGTTAAAAAACAAAAGTCTTTTGAAATTTGCTTGTTAAAGCTATTTAGATTTTGAGACTGCTTTAATGCATCATTTTTACTATATTTGGTATTTCTATCACTCATTTTTACTTTATAATGTGCTATTTCTAAGTTCAATTACTAATCATAGATATTTCTTCCCTTCTGTATGATTTTAATGTATCTTGATTTGAAACAGTACTAAGAACTTAAAAAAGATGAGCAAGCAATGATCTCAACTTCCAAATTGGTTGCATTGTAGTGGTTGTACTAATTTTTTCATATGCTTAAAAATAATGGTTCTTAACCCAGGGTGCCTATCAAACTCATCTGGAGAAGTTTTTCAAAATGAGTTATTGGCTTGTATTTCTACCAGTTGGCTCAGTAGATTAAGGTGGAGCTTTAGGTTTGGTGTTTTGAAGGTGTTCATTCAGGTCCTTTAAATATACAGTCTCTGCTCTTAGAGCCAACTTTTAGTGTTTCTTTTTTTCTTCTAGTCATGCATTTGACACATTATTTAGTTCATGGTTTTTTCTATGTAGATATATAACCCTAATTGTAAAAAGTGTGTGTGTGTGTGTGTGTGTGTGTGTGTGTGTGTGTGTGTGTGTTTCCCAGTGGCCATTTTATTTCCTCTTAGTTTAGTAACCATCTAACACATTTTGTTTAGGATCCCTTTACTGCTGCTGGGGACCCTTTACAGTGAGAATAGTACTGAAATACCAGTACAGGTAGGGAGCTAGCTAGTTCTAGGTATGTTAGTGGTTTGTTGTGAATTTGAACAATATTTGGATATCCTTATTTTGTTTAGAATTTAGAATAATTTTGGACAAGATAATTTAATTTGAAGTGGATTATTTCTGATATTATTAATAAGCTATCTTTCTCTTTTCTATATTCTCCTCATTAACACCTTCGCTTCTTTATTTCCAGGGCATATTTTTTTCTTGTGCTTACCCAATCTTGTATCTGTTGTTCCTTGATTTGTGTTTATGCACATTTACATGCAAGGATATATTCTGATGGTGTAGAATTTTTTCTACTGAAGCCACTACTGTATTTAGTTTTACTTACCTTAGCCAAAATCTTCTAAAAATTTTAGGTGAGTTTAGGCATTGTTGATTCAGCCGAATAAAAACAATTGGAGAGAGCTTTATCTAAAGGAAGAATCTCAGTCATTGTAAATAAATGACCTAAATCGATTACTGTAGAAATCAACTCGAGAAAGCCTTTCGGAATCTTCATGTTTAGAACTCTTTTGGTATTATAACCACATTACTTGAATACTTCTGCAGTAATTGGATTTCAGTATAGTACTATATTTTTAGATGACAGTTTTTACATTATTGAAAAACAGTCAAGGACCTAAAGCTGAGAGCTCATAGGAATTTAAGGTGAGTATAATAAAAATAAAGTTAATGTATTAATTATGTGTATTTCTTTTTTGCTAATTTTCTCTTCCATTTTAGATAATGAAAGAAATCCAAGAACATAAAATTAAAATATATGAATTTCCAGAGACAGATGATGAAGAAGAAAATAAGCTTGTTAAAAAGATAAAGGTAGGTTCATTCCCATACAAATATTAAAATGTTTTGAGGCCTTAAAAACACTATAATATTCACAACAGTATCAATTGGGAGATAATTCATTGTTGACTTCAATTTTACAATTAACTCTGTTTGGTGACTATTATATGTAATAAGGCATTGTGTAGAATAGAGAGATGAATGATATAATCCAGTCTATATATGGTTTTCAAATAACTGGTTTCACTTAACCCCCCCCAAAAAAAACAGGTAATGAGAGGGAGAGGATTTGTTCTTAAGCACTGTTACGCTTAATATTTGTTTTAACAGCCAGACAAAATATGTTCGCTTTTGTTCTTTTATAAAAACTAACCAAAAATCTATACCAACATAAATTTCTGTGTTTTTAATTTATAGTGGTTTCCTAAGTACCCTGGATCTAAAAATGTTTTTATATATGGCATTATGTAAGCACATAATTATCTTAGAATAATGAAATGCTTTACCAATAAAGAATTTCTAAGTTTTTGTAGAAATAGTCATATATTTTATATATTCTTATATACTCTACAGATTGGTTCTTAAATAATATAACTTTTATTCTTGACTTGTGAGGACTACAGAGATGTATTTGAACAAGAATACTTTGTTTTATAGGACCGTTTACCTCTTGCTGTGGTAGGTAGTAATACTATCATTGAAGTTAATGGCAAAAGGGTCAGAGGAAGGCAGTATCCTTGGGGTGTTGCTGAAGGTAAGGTTTTCTTTAGTGAATGACTTTCTATAAGAGCTCAAAAAAGTGATAAAGATTTGTATTTATAGTAAGTAGTAATATGATCACTGTATTGATATAATTTAGATTGTTAGAGGTAGTTGTGAATTGTTTTATTTAGTCTCATTTTCTCAAACATTCCAGTTTCTCAGATCTTGTGTCCTAAGTCAGGCAGGTATATGTTAAACCTTAACACTGTAATACTCAGAAGTCACTTGTCAGTATGCCACCCTCCCACCTCTGCCCCATCATTAGTTCTATTCTGTTTTCTTGTTTGAATACATGCGTACAATGCAGGGTTCTTTACCTGGGATCCAAACTTTGCCTCTGAGGGATCTACCGTGTTTCCCCGAAAATAAGACCTAGCGCATGGAAAGATAAGACATCCCCTGAAAATAAGACCTAGCGCAACTTTGGGAGAAAAAATTAATATAAGACACTGTCTTATTTTCGGGGAAATGGGGTAATACCCTTTCTGAAATTGAAAACCTATTTTTATCTGAGTCTCAATTTTTGTCTAGGATCCTCAAGAATGATTGAGAACAACTTTCATAAGCCCAATAAAAGCATTCACAGTCTCCTTTCCTCAGGACAGAAGCTACCATTTTAGGCATCTGATCTTTAGGCAGGGGGATCATTATTTAGAGATCCTCTACTAATTCTGTAAAGAGTTTTAAACACCAATAAAATCTTAGCCATAGTATCAAATCCCAGAAGTCCACTGGCAAAAAGATGAGTTTTCCTAAGTTTGTATTTATTATTATTGGTTTAATCTAATAGAAAGATTTAAGTCTCCTGTGTTACAGTAACTTGGAACAAAGATTGAGTCATGATTATTTTATCTTCTTATTACTACTCTGAAAAATTCTGTAATTTTTAGGGTATTATTCCAAGTTACTATCCTTATCAGGGACTTTCCCCACCAATGAACTGTACTCATTCCCAGCCCTGTTATCCCAGATTACCTTCAGTTGCTGAGCAGAGGCTTTAGAGTTTGTACAACCCTTGAAATCTGTGATGAAGAATTTAGTTTACATCTCTAGTTTTAGGGGTTTCTCCCCCCTAAATATGTTCCTGTAAGTTTTAAGGGGGGGTTTCTAAAGAGATTCCCCTTTTATTCTCCCACCACCAAACTTTTAACGCATTTTATCATGGAATAAACGTATTCTCTACCAATAAAGGAAAAGATATGATCTCCCTTTTCAACTTCGCAGAAGTTGCTCTGAGGAGCTCCTTGGTTAGATGTATATATTTGACCACTGAAGATTAAACTACAGTGAAGCAGTATTACACTGTGCTTCTGGGCATACCGTGTTGACCCTGAATGATAGCACTTTCACAGGTCCTGCCCAGGCAGTGGGGCCAGGATTTGGTAGCTGGTGCTGAAAGAAAACCCTTGAGTGCATCTTTCCTGGGACTGTGCCAGTGATAGCTGTCACTCAATGGCACAGAGGAAAACAAATCTTTAGTGAAAAATTTAAGCTATTTTGCATATTCTTTTATTGTTGTTGCCTCCACTTTTCTGTGAAGTTTTCTTCGCAAAGCCTGCAGTTAATGGAAATAATATGGTCTATTTCTTTTATAGTTGAAAATGGTGAACATTGTGATTTCACAATTCTAAGAAATATGTTGATAAGGTAAGTGTAAGTAATGATGAAAACAACAAGCTTTTTCTTTCCCTAAAGTTAGAGTTGGACAAATTTGTTTTGCCTTCCATAAAGGTAGCTAATTTAAATTGGTGTCTCATTCTAGCCCTAAAGTAAGTAGTGAACGGAAACAACTTGGATTATTTCACCAGGATTTTAAAGTCATTAGCAAAAATACAAAATAAGCTGTGTGGCTAGGGATGTATAGGAAAAAAATCATATTTTTAGTTGAGGTTTTAACACTGAAAGAGGTATGGAAAGTTGAAGGTAACAACTTCTGTGTGTTTTTTTTTTTTTTATTGGAAAAAGTGGAAGGGAAGGCTAGGTTTTGAAGGATGTTTTTTTGTAAAGGGGAGCTTATAGTTGAAGAGGTTATATGGTGTCACCTATAAGATACAGTGGTACCAAAAATTGAGTGACAGCCAGGAGAGACTCAGTGTTTCCCAAAGTGTGGTACGCATACCCCCAGGGGAACAGGAAGAGTTTAGTGGGGGTATGCGCTGCACTGTGCTTAGCTGCACCTAATTCTGTGTTCTCATGAGTACGTGGGGGTACTCAGTGTTACGAAAATTATAGAAGGGGTACACATATATCAAAAGTTTGGGAAACACTGAGTTAGAGTATCTTGACTCAAAGGCTGAGAAGAGAACTTCCACAGCAAAGGAAGAACTCTTGTTTGAAAAATCAGTGACAAATTAGCATGAGCTATTTATCCTCAAACACTGGCTCAGCTTGGAATAAGCTGCCTGGCTTTACTTAATTGGAGAGGGATAGAGCTTTAGGTGTAACTATGGTGGCCAGAGAGAGAATACAGTCATCAAAGAGCAGAGTATAAAGAGAAAGGAGATATGTGGAAAACCAGACTTAGAACCAGGAGCAATAAACTCAGAACTGCATAGAAATGTCAAATAGTAGGAATTGAATCAGTAATTTAACATCACATTTTAATCACAAAAGGGGTAGTAATTGTAAATGTTTCCTGGATACCAGGAAGAATAAAAACGGAGTATATCTTGGTTTGTCTCCCAGAGGGGAGTTTTGGTGAAGTGGTAGAGTGGTGAGGAAGGGAGGATTGAAGAATTACAGAGACCTCCACACCACACGCATCCAACAAACTGAATTTGTGGAAAGGAAATCATGCAGTTCAGGGTATCTTTAGCATTTCAAATCATTAAGGAATGATGACATTGATGTATTGTTCAGTTTTTTTTATATGTATTGATTTTATATGTTATGGAAATGCTGTGAGCAAACATTTAGCCAAGATACCACATTTATTGGACAGTTTGAATAAACAAATTTAAACTCCCCACTTTGAATTCATCCTGTTATGTGGTCTAAAGTGTCCCTGTGAATTTATCACCTTAGTAAAAACTCTTATTAATAATACTGCTAAAAGAAAAGGATTTCTTTTAGGTTTTATGAGCGTCTATAGAAGCTAATCTACATTCCTTTCTCTAGTAAAATACATACAGCAGATCCTTGAATAATGTCATTTTGTTCAGTGTTGTTTTGCTATGATGTTGAGAAGCCACAGGAACTTAACTTTTGTTTATATCTATTAGCCTGGAAAATCGCAAAATATCGATATGTTAGGGATAACTTACTGTAGTTTAAAAGTAAATACTCTTATGTGGAAATGTCATCTTTAGTAAGTGCTTTGAAGGATTTATGGCTCTTCTCATTTGGAATTAAATTTCCATTGGTGTCAAGATAGTGCATGTATCTTGCTCTGCTTTTTAATAGAAGCAAACACTTGATCTGTTACTCATTTATGACAGAACACATATGCAGGACTTGAAAGATGTCACTAATAATGTACACTATGAGAACTACCGGAGCAGAAAATTGGCAGCTGTGACTTATAATGGAGTTGATAATAACAAGAATAAAGGGCAGCTTACTAAGTAAGTATACATCAGAAAAGGTATTATTTATTAGTATATAATTATATTGTTTTATTTTCATCAAGTAGTTCCTGCTACTCAATAGAAAACTGGGTTTTTACTTATACACAACAGCAGAATTTTATGTTAAGTTTTGTTAAGTTAAAGAGGTTATATTTTACTTTATATTTATAGTTGGCAGTTTTATATTTTACTATTTAATTATGGAAGAAAGTGTTGTTTCCTTGTTTCTTAAGAAAAAGAACCTTGCATTCTCTTGGTCATCTGCCATTTTTATAATCTGCGTACCACATAGTTAATAGATTCCCAATTAGAAATTAAATAGCTCCCCTTTAAAAAATACTTTTTTTTTTTAAGGAAAGAGAAAAGTTACTATTGTGATCTCCTAACCCATAATGCTTATAAGATTGTCTCTTTAAGAAGACTTCACATAGAACTTCTATGTTTTATTATTGTCTTTATTATGTCTTTTTTTATTTTTTATTTATTTATTTTTTAAATATATTTTATTGATTTTGTACAGAGAGGAAGGGAGAGAGATAGCGAGTTAGAGACATCAACGAGAGAGTGTCATCGATCAGCTGCCTCTTGCACACCCCCTACCAGAGATGTGCTTGCAACCAAGGTACATGCCCTTGACCGGAATTGAACCCGGGACCCTTCAGTCCCCAAACCAACGCTCTGTCCATTGAGCCAAACCGGTTTCGGCTATGTCTTTTTTAAATAAGCATTTTTGATAACAGAGTTTTCACTAACATTATATAGAAACAAGGGACAGAACCAAACAAAAAGAACACTTAGATGGCTCTAGTCTTGGTTACCTTCTCTACTTTCTCTGTTCCCATTGTGTATTAACACGGAGTAAATTGCCTGGGTTTGGATTTCCTGGAGCGGAATGAGTGACTATCAGGTGTGTAGCTTCACCTCCTCAGTGCAGATCTCAGGCTGTGTGGTTGTGATGGGATGGGGAGAGAGGTGTGTAAGGATATGGTGAGGTAGCTGGGGTAGTTCTTGGTAATAAGTCTATGCCTTTTTCTTTTCCTTTTTTTAACTTGGAATTGCTGAAGATCATAAGTATTATAAAGACTATTTTAATTATAATATGTACATTTGTAGCCAGGTGTTATCTGCCATTCAAGGATAATCTGAAGAATCATCTGTATAAATAATGAGAAAGGCAAGTTCTCAAAGTAGCCATTACTGTGTTTTATAGTGGCCAGCATCCCTCCTAATGGAACAGAAAATGTTCCTTTTTCTCTTTTAGTTATGTCTCCACATGGCCTTTACATTCCAGAGAAAGCACAGAAAGCAGTTCTCTTTTAAAACCTGTGTTTATTTTCTTACATATTTTCTTAATGATTCTTAGATCATGGTCCCTAATTTTTTACTTAACTTAGAATTTCTTCTTATACTATTAGCATACTTCTTTGAGAAACTTTGATGATCAATTTCTAGCTTTTCTGGTTTCAAGGATCTTGTGAGTGATTTTTAAAAAAGTAAATTTCTGGTTTCAATCATTTAGCGAGTGATTCTGATTCATTAGATGGGGATGGGCCTGAGAATTTATATTTTTAATAAGCACCTTGAGTGGTTCTGATATAGGTGATTAGTAATTCATACTTTGCAAAACATTGACTTCTAGGAAAAATTGATTTGTTTAATATTTTAATTTTTAAATATTTAAGATAAAATTTTTAAATACTTAAAATATTTGTGGTAAGATTCAGCACATAAGGCAAATAAAAGGCAAGACTTACTTGTTTTAGCAAAATTTTCTTCAACTTTATCACAAAAAATATAAGGATTATCAATAAGTAATAAAATCCTATCCATTTTATTTTATTTTAATATATCCTTTAAAAGTCCATTCAATTATTTTTGTTTCATTGAATTTTTCAATTACAGTTGACATTCAACATTATTTTACATTAGTTTTAGGTGTATGTACAGCATAATAGTTTTGACAATTATGTAACTTATGAAGTGATCCAGTCTTACTAGTAATTCGTTTAATTTTTAATACATTTTTATTGATTTCAGAGAAGACATTATATATATATAATCAGTGATAGAGAATCATTGATCAGCTGCCTCCTGCATGCCCCACAGTAGGGATGGAGCCACAACCTGGGCATATGCCTGACATGTAATTGAACCGTGACCTCCTAGTTCATAGGTTGACACTCAACCACTGAGCCATGTCTGCTGGGTTCCTAATTTCTTTTAAATGCATTTCACTAGCTTAAAGGTTTTATAACAGTTTAAAGAAAAACATTGATAAATCCACTTAAAATTTTACTAGAAGCCCGTTGCACGAAATTCATGCACCTGTCTGGGAGGACCCCTCAGCCCAGCCTGCAACTCTCCAATCCAGGACCTCTTGGGGGATGTCCGACTGCCAATTTAGGCTCCATCCTAAACTGGCAGCCAGACATCCCTCTCTCAATCCTGGACCGCTGGTTCCTAATTGTTCACCTGCCTGCCTGGTCGCCCCTCACTGCCTCTGTCTCCTAGACCATTTATATTTTGGTCAGACTTAAAATAAGATTTAGACATCATGTTTACACCTTAAACTTATACAGTGTTTTCTTTTTTAAGATTTTTTATTGATTTTTAGAGAGAGAGGGAAATATGGATGTGAAAGCAAAACATCAATTGGCTGCATTCTGCTGTGACTCTCTTATTGGACATGTGAAAGTATAAGTCATTTGGTGGTTTTTACGAGTTAGAAATACTTAAAGAGAACTCTAGAAAAAGCCAAGTTATATCTTTGGGGATTTATTTTGATATTCAAGTTACATCATAGCCTTTCTTTAAAACAAATCTTCAAGTTTTTTCATTTCTTTGGTTGAGTTGTTTTAAATTTTTCTGACAAGTTTAAGTTTGTAATTTTTAATGTATCTGAGTATGAAAAAGAGTTTCCCATTAAGAAGTAGGCAGGTAACTGATGAGCAAGGGCAGACCCAGAGAAAGAGAAGCAGCAATCAGACCTTCAAACCTCAGAGGGAAAGTAGGGGAGAATGGGGGTAAGGGGAAGAGATCAACCAAAGGACTTGTGTGCATACATATGGGCCTAGCCAGTGGCCATGGACAACAAGGGGGTGGGGGCATATGTGGAGAGGGGTTTGGGATGGGAATGGGGGGATGAGGACAATTATGTGATATCATAATCAATAAAAAATAAATAAAATTTAAAAATTAAAAAAAAGAAGTAGGCAGGTAATTAATTTAAGTACTCTTTTCTAGCCATCTAATAAGAAAGATTTTATTTGAAAAAACAGTTATGACAAGTAATCTTTTTCCCATGTTTCCTACATATTAAGCATAATTTTGTATTGCTTCTAAATACCGCTTTAATAAAGATGATCAGAAGCAGGATGGCAATTTATTTAAAAATTAAAGAGATTTGAAAGATCATTTTGATGAGTGAAAGATGTAAAAAATTCCATTTTTAAATTTATGTGACCATTTTGTTAATATAATACTCGAAGATCAATTTTCTTGGTCAGGAGTTACATTTTTGCAAGGTCAGAAATTTAAAATATCTCAAATGTGAAATATTACAACTTTCTTTTGAAAGTATGGATATTTAAATAGGTTTAGAAATTTGAGCAGGCTATAAGAAGATGACTGCACAGCATATTTATATCTATAAATTGGAATAATAAGTACTAACAGAATTTAAAAAAAAAATTACATTAACAAATTTTCCCATAAGCTTTTATTTTAGGGCACATACTTTATTTAACTATAAATCTATAAATTTGCCTTTAATTGCTGCTTTCTGGTGTGGTTCACTTTACATTTACTAAGTTTCTGTATTTTTGTTCTTTTAGATATGACACATATGAAGGCATGTAAGTGGCTATTTGTTTTTCCAAAGACAGCAGGTCTAGTATGTAGGGATTTTTAATATTTAAATTTTTACTTTAAAAGCAAATTTCAAAACATTATAGCATGTTTCTCTGCTATAAAAGTGTTATATTTTTTCCCCAGAGTTAACTAAGAATCTAGATAACAGTGTTTACTCATGTAAACTAGTAGTCTTTTCACATGCAGATTATGCTATGAATTTTTTAAATTTATATGAATTGCCTTTTTCCTCCCAGGAATAAAATTAAAAGAGCATTTTATAGATAGGTTATTATAAGTAAAAATATATATTTAACTTTAAAATTATAATTTTATCTAAATTTTAACTTTTTAAATATATTTATACTTTTGTATATTTGTTTTCAAATCACAGCAATATTGTTGGATAACCTAAGTTGCTTAAACATATATATTCAGTTATTAAGACTGTCACTTTAAAAATAGTTATTAGATCCTTTTCTAGTCTCTAAAAGGCTTTAGAAGGCACACGCATTTGGCATGTAAGTTTGTTGTTGTTACTCCTCAACTAAGGATATTTTTCCATTGATTTTTAGAAAGAGTAGAAGAGAGGAGAGAGACAGAGAGAGATACTACTGAGGGGGGTGGGAATTAAGCCTACAAACCAGATATGTGCCCTTGCCTGGAATCATATCCGAGACTCTTCAGTCCATGAGCCAGTGCTCTATCCACTGAGCCAAACTGGCTAAAGCTACTATGTCATTTGGGGGGTATTCATTTGCTCTATGCTCAAGAGATCTGATGCCATAAAGATGAGAAATATATTATTAAAAAGGACCTCATCAGCTTTTAATGAAATAATAATGGCATTAATGGCATTTATACTTAAAATTTTATTATTTGTTGACCTCATTTTCTGAATGCAGGATCTTATTGTAAGTTAATGTTTTGCTTATACTTTCATTTTTGGGACTTTCCTTATATTGCTTAGTTGTTAAACTATACTGCAGATTTGTAAGTTTTCTTTTGGTAAAGAAATCTCCTTTAGTCAAATAACATTTTTTTCTAATTTACACTAACTGCAAAAACAGGTCATCTTGATCACGGCAGTATATCACATTTTTGTCCTTCCTGTTTTGCTAAGAGAAAGCAGTCACCAATATTATGTCATGTGCTCTTTTTCAATATTTTCTATCTATCTCTTCCTTCTGGATAGAGAAGAGTGTTCTAAGGCTCAGAAATAGACAGCCTCCTGAGGAAGAAAGTCAGCATGTTCATAGTGTCAGGTCAGGATGAGTAAATACCCTTGAAGTTATGGGTGATATTGAAGGCCTGATTTCTTTTTCAGCCATAATTTAATTTTAAAATCACTTTCTTGAAGTAAAACTCAACGATTTAAAATGTAAAATTCCATGGTCAAAGCCTGTTTTTGTGGAGGTCAAATCAACATGTTTCAGCAACAGAGGCAGAGAAGAGCCTGCCTCTTCAGTTGTCCCAGTGTTTTGAATAGTGCTCTGAGCTCCTCAAAGCCACAGAGCTCACTTTTCTCTTCTGCTGGGGCTGTAGTAGGTTACTGAAACTTTGGCATTCTCTTGGGTTTATAAGCATCCTAGTCTGTAATTAAACTCATTTGTGGTGTTTTTTTCAACATGAGATTTTTGGACAAAATTGTGCAGAGATTTGAACCTGTGGATTTGAATGTCAGTGGAATACTGAACTATTTTTTATGCTTGTGTCTATTTTCTGACATATTAAAATAATTATAAAGATAATTATTTGCTTTGGATTCTGTGTGTGTGTGTTTGTTTTTATCACTATTGTTATCAGTCTTGAAAAATAAATGAAATATTTGGGTTAGGTGAAATAAATTTTCAAGAGCATTGAAGTTACCGAAGTGGACTAAAAATGCTCTGCATGTCTAAATGAAGAGTATTGTAGTATTTTATATATATATATATATATATATTTTTTTTTTTTTTTTTTAATTGATTTTTTACAGAGTGGAAGAGAGAGAGTTAGAAACATCAATGAGAGAGAATCATCCATCAGCTGCCTCATGCACACCCCCTACTGGGGATGTGCCCACAACCAAGGTACATGCCCTTGACTGGAATCGAACCCCGGGACCTTTCAGTCCCCAGGCCGACGCTCTATCCACTGAGCCACACCAGTTTTGGCGAGTGTTGTATTGACTGCTGCTCATTTCCAGCATATCATTTCAATTACCAAAATAAGTTTGAATTATGTTAACAGTATAATTGTGATGTCAGTAGTTGTCTTAGAGATTGTAATACTTGGAGATTTGTAGAAATAAGATTATTCTACATATATTAACTTTATTAATTCAGTTTCTTTTTTCATATTAAAATCTTGTTTAAAGAAAGTACATAATGAAATAATTTTCTTTTGGTTTTCCATTCTGCAAATATATTTTGAAATGTTTCCTTTCCATTTTCCTTCTATACTTTATTTAATAGATTATCTTTAAGTTAGATATGCAGTAGGTTTAGAGAAACATCCTACTAACAGTTGCCTTTGTTTTTTAGAGCTATTTTCATAACAATTATTAGAGATTTAAGTTTAGATGAGAAATTTTGTGGAAGTATTAGATTATAAATATTAAAATTCATAAAGAATTTTTAACGCATTTATATATGGAACTTCTGATCTGCGTTCAATATTATTTACATGGTGTCAGAATAATTGAAAATTCATTTTGAAACTTATTTTCAAGAAATAGAAAGCAGAGATTTTAGTAATGCCATACAGTATCTCATTTGTTTTCATCACTCAGAGTTTTGTGTTAACTTTTTATTTCTGGATATGTAATGATTATTCATGTTCATAACAGGAGCCCTCTGGCACAAATGGAAGAAGAAAGAAGGGAACATGTAGCTAAGATGAAGAAGATGGAGATGGAGATGGAACAGGTGTTTGAGATGAAGGTCAAAGAAAAAGTTCAGAAACTGAAGGACTCTGAAGCTGAGGTAATCAACCTAATAGTTCCACTTCTTACAACACAATATTTCTTTTCAGAATAATACTGTTCATAAATTTCAAAGATAATAGAACTTTTTAAAAATACTTTCCCAAATTGAATATAATACTCTAATGTAATAAAACAGAGAAATAAAAGCAAGCACTATGTTTCTATAAAATATACTTTATTATGTAAGTGGACATAGTATATTTGGCAGAAAGATGTAATAGAATAGTTAAAATGAATTATTAGTTATAATGAGTAAGTTATGAAAAATGAAATTATACACCATCCCATATATTTAGAATAAGAAAAATGACTATCAGTTTTGAGAAATTTAACTTACTCTTTTGAAGGGTGAAACCTTTCTTAGCATTAAAGGGCCTACCTGTAAAAAAATCTGGGCCAAATTTCCCCTAATACTATAAGCCATCTCTCCCTGCTTTCTTCCCACTTGTGTCAGCTTTCTGAATCTTGAATTAGGAGACAAGTTCAAATCCTGATTTTCTGCCACTTTCTGGATAATGATCATGACATGGGACTTAAACTGTAGACTACTTGCTTATTTCTATAGTGGGAGGGAGCAGTGATGTCTTCCCTGCTGAGCTTTCAAAATGTTTGTGAGCCATGAAAAATGAGATAAGTATGTCTGCTGTTAGAAAGGTCTTTACAACCGTAAGCTTGTTGCCCTTTTCCCCATTTCTCAGGATTATTCTCTGGGGCCTCTTTGGAGGGGGAGGTCACAAGTCCTATAGGAAGAGAAATCATAGTGCTTTCCAGATGGTGCTCTGAAATTTATAGCACAAGACCTCAGTGCTCGCACTCTTAACGTTAGGATGGATGAAACGAACTTTAGCGCCTGAGTTCTTAACCAGTCTTATTTGATATGTCGTGCTGTGATTTAGCTCCAACGGCGCCATGAGCAAATGAAAAAGAATTTGGAAGCACAGCACAAAGAATTAGAGGAAAAACGCCGTCAGTTTGAAGATGACAAAGCCAACTGGGAAGCTCAGCAACGTATTTTAGAACAACAGAACTCTTCAAGGTAACATTGCCAAAAAATGTCTAGTAATTTTTAAAGAATTATTTTCTTATTTATTGTAAAGAATTAGGATAGCGTTTTAAAAGACACCACCCCTAGGCACAATTATTTTAGTATTTTTATATAGATGAATGTAATCTAACATAATGGCAGTTTTTTTCACTACAAACATTTTGGATGATTTAACAATCTCCATAACTAAAGTAGTAGGTTCATAACATTTTGCCCAATTGACTCACCATAATCAGTTTCTTACCTTCTCCCTCCAATTATTGGACTAATGGTTGTGTTCAATTTTTAGTAAACACAGAAAATACTGCTGTAAAGATCTTTTATGTAGTTAGAGGTATGATTTAATTGTGTTGAATTATTTAGGTAAAATTCTTAAGATAAAATTTGGGTATCTCAATTCCTACTGCAGTTAACAAGCTTCGCAGTCTTTATTTAAAAACTCAGTAATATTTGTACCTTGGCTTCACCTTCTCCCTCCCCCTCCCTATTAGTTCCATTTAAAACTGAGTAAGTTGAATTGTTGTAAGGATTCTACAATTTATCCTCACTGCTAAATGTTTTTAAGATAAGACATTTGTTCGATTAACTTTTTTTCCAAGAAGGAGGAAAATATATTTGTGAAAACAGATGCATTTCTGAATACAAATGGCAATAGAAGAAAAGGATACCCTATTAGATATCAGTTGATTTTTTTTTTAATTTTGCACTATTTTATTTACGAGTTGTTCTCATATGTTGAAATTCAGTTTTTGTCATATATTTACTGTATTTTTTGTCAAATACTTGATTGCCTAAGAAAATATTATGGACTAGCATTGTCCTTATTGTTAAATTTTTCAAATGAAAAAGTAGTCTTTGAAAACCCAACACAGTTGTAGTTGGGTAAGTTAATTGCTACCGTTTGTTGTTTATAATGTTTATAACGTAGTCAACCATTTTGATTATTTTTTTTAATCATTTAGAACCTTGGAAAAGAACAAGAAGAAAGGGAAGATCTTTTAAACCCTCTATTGACCACCAGTTACGTATTAGTTGCCAATATGCCAGCTTGGACATCAGTGTTTGTTGGATCCGTTTGACCAATTTGCACCAGTTTTATCCTTAATGATGGATTTAACAGCATGACAAAAATTATTATTATTTTTTGTTCTTGATGGAGATTAAGATGCCTTGAATTGTCTAAGGTATTGTTGTGTACTTAGAAACTAACAGCTCTAAGTACCTTTCCTACATTTTCTTTTTTTAAACGGATGTCTTCAATTTAATGCAAGAAAACATTTTACTATTGTACAATCATGTTCTGGTGGTTTGACTGTTTACAGGATATTCCAAAATAAAAGGACTCTGAAAGGTTTTCACTGAGGATAAATTGCCATAATATGATGCAAACTATGCTTCTCTATAATAATTATAATACAAAGGTTCCATCCAATGCAGCATATACAATAATGTAATTTAGTCTAACACAGTTGACCCTATTTTTGACACTTCCATTGTTTAAAAATACACATGGAAAAAAAAAACCTATATGCTTACAATGCACCTAGAGCTTTTTTATAACAGCCTTTTTTTGTTTGTTTGTTTATTTGTTTGGATTCTTTAAATATATATTATTCTCATTTAGTGCCCTCTTTAGCCAGAGCCTCATTACTTCTTCATTTTTGTAATAACATTTAATTTAGGTATTTTCCATATATTGGCCCTGCTAAAATAGAATATAGCATCTTTCATATGGTAGGAACCAACAAGGAAACTTTCCTTTAATTCCCTTTTTACATTTTATGGTAAGTAGCAGGGGGAAATGCATTTATAGATCATTTCTAGGCAAAATTGTGGAGCTAACGACCAACTTCTTTCTACCCATGAGCAGCCTCTTTATTTTACTAGAAATGGAAATCATGGCCTCTTGAAAAGAAAAAAAGTCACCATTCTGCATTTAGCTGTATTCATATATTGCATTTCTGTATTTTTTTTGTTTTTATTGTAAAAAATTCACATAATAAACAATGTTGTGATGTAATAGAGTGTGGGTCTTAACTGTTCTACAGTTGATGTACAAAATTAGAATAATTTTGGGAAGAAACTTTTCTACTTGAATTTGTCGGCTCCACGATTGCAGCACGTCTTTTCTCTTGTATGTTTGTTTCACTTGGAATGTATATGCCTTGCGTTTCTTTTTATTTAAGTATTGCTGCTTAGAAACAGGTTCTGGTGGTTACCGTTGTGAAATTCTGTACAGTAATAAGGCACTCTATTCTAGCACTATGAAAATGTTCGCGGTCTCCATCATGTCATGCCTAAGGTGTTCCTTCAATCTGGTAGAGGAGCGATGAAACTTTCCTGGCCCTTTTGACTGACCTCAGGCTCTCCATGCGTATGAAGGGCTATTTTTGCCAGAGGCCTGTGGACTCAGAACTGCTGTATGTTTCGTGATACTGTAACATTCAGGTAAGCATGGTGAAAGGCAGCAAACAGCAGTGCTAGTCCCCTCGGGCAGAAGCATCACCTAGTTGAAGCAGCCAATGAACTACTGTCTTGCTCATTATCAGGTTGACCATGTAAACACAAGTCCCGGTGCAGTTAGGGCAGCGCATGGCTGGGTTTTACTGCCACCCAGTGGGATGAGGTCTGATTATTGCATTATCAAGTTCACAGGTAGCAGGGGAAGCTGACAGTGAATTAGATGTCTGCCTTATCTATCTGTAGCTCAGTGTGTGATCTTGGGAGCTAGGAGACACAGGCTTCTGCCTTTGGAACCGTTAGCTCGTCAGACCTTCACATTCTGACTCCTCGTATCTTTCATGCCTTTAAAATCCTCTTGGAGAAACCGACCTAAGAATGTGGTTCTCGAGCAGGGATAGTAGGTGAGAAAGAATAGGAAAGGGGAAGGTGGCAGATAAGGCAGCAAGAGCGTACAGAGTGGAAGAAGTTGGCACTCCCTCAAGGCTCAGCGAGTTAGCACATTCCACTCTGGAAGCCATTGATGTGAATTTGTAAATAGTCAATTATTAAATCTCCAAGGATGTCCTGTGTACTGCTGTGAGTCCTCCCTGCCACTCAGGTAACTTGAATCGTCTCTAATAAAAAGCTTGGCAATGTCAATAAAAGTCAGTGTTTTTCATTCAGGTTGTTTTCCCTGCTCCTTGGGTAATAATAGTAATTGTCCATCTTGAATGCTCACTGTTCCAGACATTAAGCTAGTTTATGTACATTCCTTCACTTAATCCTCACTAGAACCAGATGCCAATGTCTCCTTTCTCAGCGTGGAGCACGTGCAGTGACTTCTCCAGGAGACAGGTGGTGACTGGTGGAGCTGCTGTTTGAACCAGGTGTGGTGACTCAGGGACCCGGTGCCTCTGTCACATGCTAATGACCACCTGTTGTCCAGGTTCCAACCCCAGCTCTGTGGGAACTGGGCCTCTGACTTCCCTTCACAGCATTCATTTCTTCAGCTGTAAAACGGCCACATGCCCTTGCTGTTTGGGATGCCGATTACTTCTGACTGCACGAGCAGAGGTGTCTGGACTCCAATTACTGTGTGTGTGTGTGTGTGTGTGTGTGTGTGTGTGTGTGTGTGTGTGTGTGTATTTTTTTTCTTTTCTTTTTTTTTCTTTTGTTTAGAGAGAGAGTGGGGAAGAAAGAGAGAAACATCAATTGGTTACCTTCCACACATGCCCTGACTGGGGCCCAAGGTCAAATCTGCAGTTCAGGTACATGCCCTTGACCAGGAATGGAACCTGCGACCCTTTGGTGCCTGGGCCAACGCTAACACAAGCAACACCAGCCAGGGCTCGAAATTACCTTTGAATGTTGTGTAGGCGGCAAAGTGGGGCCAGCACATGTCAGAATTGCTTTCCCAGTTTTAGGGGATGGTTTGCTTTCAGGATGTGTGCATGGTGCTGTGCCTTGCTCTGGGTCCTCTGTGTATGCACAGATACTGGTGAAATTACTGACTAAAGTGTGTTTCAACAAAAGAGCACACCATGGAAATAAGGTAACTTTGGGGAGAAGCAGGCCTTTATGCAGTGCTAGTAATCCTATATAATAAAAGCCTAATAAGCTAAGTGTCTGGTCATCCATTCGTCCAACCAATCAAAGTGTAATATGCTAATTATATGCTAAGGCTGCTCAGCTGCTCACTATGATGTGCACTGACCATGGGGACGGGGAGGGGTGGGGGGGGCAGATGCTCTGACCAGTAGGTTGGCTTTCTGCTGGGGACTGAGCTAGATGGGTCGGACATGTCCTGGAACCCTCCCATGGTCCCTCCTCAGCCGGCCAACCTCCCATACCCTCCACAGCCCTGATCGTGCACCAGTGGGGTCCCTTGGCCTGGCCTGCACCCTCTCATGATCCAGGACCCATCAGGGGATGTCAGAGCCGATTTTCGGCCCAATCCTATAAGCCAAGCCAAGGGACCCTACTGGTGCATGAATTCATGAATTCATACACCAGCCTTCAGTGGGAATTATAAAATACGCCATTGTTTGTAATTAAAGCTGAGGTGTCTTATATGAGTGTCTGCAATGAAAACACTGCTGCCTTTTAAGTGAATCTAGTTCCCATGATTTGGGGTCAATCCACAGGATGTTCAAAGTGGAGTGTCAGCTGTTTTCAGCAGACGGACCAGCAATTTCCTGCGTTCTTTAGGAGTCTTCCAAAGCTTCACGGAAAGAATGAATACTATTCTTGGCCTGAGCTTTTGCCCCCATGGGGTGCTGGGCCCAGCCAAACCGCCTTGTACTAGCAAAGGAGGGTCAAGTGAAAGGAGACCTTGTTCTGGGCCAGGCTCTCAAAGGGTGGCCTGAACCCCTTGGCCACACACAACCACTATTTGGGATGCAGTGTTTGTGGACCTGCCGAAATCTAATGCCACTCGGGCCTTCGGAAATCCTGCGGGAGGGGCTGACACCTCTGAGAACAGAAATCTGGGAAGATGTGACATAAGATGGGGGTTGGAGACTGCATAGAAATGCCTGTTTTTTCTCTCCCAAGAGAGTGAAGGGTTGCTTAGCCCTCTGGCTTCGAAACATTGCAAGGAGGGGTTTACCTGGGTATTTATTATTAATACCAGGAAACAAACCACAGAATCCCGTGGGCAAAGGACTGGCTCACTCAGGGCGGACACCCGAGCTAACCTGGTCTAGTGGGGCCCTTTTCCCTGTTGTCTGAGTTTTTGTGGTCGCTTTCATATTGAAATACATGCCCGCTGGGTTACAGGCCCAGAAAAATTCCCTGAGTCTTGGATAAGCCAGCAATTTAAGCGAGTTGGCAAGTGCTGGATGCCCTGGCTCAATCTGCTGTGAATAGGGGCTCTCCCCCTTACTCTGCATAAATCCCGGGATACCGATTGGGGGGAGAGAAGGGGAGTCGGGGAGCTGTGGATTTTTGTCCTGGAGATAAACCCCATGTGTGATTACACAAATCTGTGACACTGGTTTACTTTTAAAACAAAAGCAGACTCAAATTACAATGGAGAGGGGAGGATGATCTGGGGGAGATAATAGATCAACCGAAGGACTTGTATGCATGCATATAAGTACAACCAATGGACATAAAACTTTGGGGAGGGAGGAGGGCAAAAAAAATAAAATATATTAAAAATTAAATTAAATTTAAAAAATAAAACAAAACAGTTGAAATGAACACCTCAGAGACACAGTTCTGTCACTTGGGCACCAAAATAAAATCATCCTTCAACCTGCACACCATTGGGTACGCTGCTCAGAACTGAGGCTGCCTTTTCTCAACCACCCACTTCATTGGAGCCTAGTCAGACCCCACTCCTCAGCCAGGCGCTTGGGAAGGGGGTGAGGCCACAGGGCCCGTTCACACTGTGACCTCCCTCGGCGGGACTGGCCAGTTACAGATCACACCCAGAGGAGACGGGCTTTCTCTTCAGCTTGTACCAGGAGGCCCTGTGGGCTCATCCTTCCAAACGCGAACATTTCAGCAGGAATACCTGGTCGTCAAGGGACAGAGCGCTCGCTCACTTAAAAATT